ATATTAAATGGGTGAAAATAAAGGGGAAAAAACACTGTAAGACATACAGAACACAAACAGAAAAATGGCAAAACTCAATCCTTTCTTATCAGTAATCACTTTAAGTAAAATGAATTAAATCCTCCAAAGACAGAGTTTTGCACCACAGATAAAACATGATACAAATATATTGTATCTGTAGGAGACTCACTTTATTTATTTTTATTAATTTTATTGAGAAATAAATGGCAATGAGACAGTTTCAAAACCGATTAATAGGACATTTTCTTTTCTTTCTTTCTTTCTTTCTTTCTTTCTTTCTTTTTTTTTTTGTGGAACTGGGGATTGAACCCTTGCACTTACTAGGGAAGTGCTTATTCTACTGAGCCATCTCTCCAGCCCCTATAGGACATTTTCAATAATTAATACATTGCATATTGTTGTCTTCATAGTGGTTATTCATAGTACAAGATGCAGACATGATATCCTGTCCAAACACTATTAGTACAAATCTTTCTAAGAGACTCATTTTAAATGTAAAGCAAAAATATGTGGCTTGAAAGTGAAAGTACAAGGGCCAGCCAAATAGCTCAGCTGATTAAAGCGCCTGCTAACAGGCACAGGGGTCCAGGTTCGATCCCCCATCCCCGGGGCATGCTGAGAAGGCAATTGAGACTGGGCATGGTGGCAGCTCTTGGGAGGCTGTAAACAGGTAGATCACTATGAGTCCAAGCTAGTAGTGAGACCCTGAACACCCTGTAGACCCTTCTCTAAAATTAAAAAAAAAAAAGAAAAAGAAAGTGAAAGTACAGAAAAAGATACTCCATGCAAACAGTAAACAGAAGAGAGAACAGTAGTCATACTAATATCATTTTCAATGATAAGTAAAATATCTGGCTGAAGATCTATAAGGACAAGGAGAAAATGAAGACCATTGTGAATAATTAGACCCTGCATAGGTATACAGAATACTTAGTTCAACAACAACAGAGCACACTTTTCTCCCAAGTACACTGGAACATCCTCTAGGATAGGCCACGTGTTAGTTTGCAAAACAAGTCTGAACACATTTTTAGAATGATTTTTTTTTTTTTTTTAACCTGGCTGGCTCCAGCTGCCTTAAAGGCAGGTCTGGTAAGGCAGGTAGAGATGGGGATTGAACCACTGTATCCTGCACCTGACTACATTTGCATGAGCAGGCAATTAAACAACTGAGCTAAGGGGCAGGCCCCCTTAAACAAATTTTTAGAAACCAACTAAAAAGGTATATTTTATAACCAAAAATAGAATAAAGTTTTGTATAAGTAGTAGAAGAACAAGTGGGAAATTTACAAACATGTAAAGCATTAATAGCATATTATTAACCAATAAGCCAAAAAAGAAATAACAACAGATATTAGAAAGTACTTAGTGAGGGACAGAAATGAACATACAGCATGCCCTAATTTATAAGATAAACTGAAAGGGCCGGGGAGATGGCTCAGTGGAATAAGCGCTTCCCTGGCAAGTGCAAGGGCCTGAGTTTAATCCCCAGTTACGCAAAAAGAAAAAAAAGAAAAAAAAAAAAAAGATAAA